ATAGTCATAGGGAACCCTGTGATCCTCAGAAAGGACCCTGTATGGCAGAAGTAAGTCAGATGATTGAAGTTTTCCTCATTGTCATATGAATGCACTGAGATCAGCTGCTTATCTGAACTACACAAGTTTTATTCTGGGAGAACATTCATGGGAAGTGTTACATAAAATTTAAATGGACCCCAATATAGCTTTTATTAGTGATAGGATTAAAAAAAACACCATTTCATTAAAATTTGGACACTTTTATTATATGGCTTTACCAGGTCTGCATATTTTCAATCATCTATGTCACCATATTTCAAGCTAATCAGTATCAAGCAACTTCTACCTGCTGTAATGCTGTCTGTCTGTCTTTCTAAGCCGATTTTATACTTTGAAATATACTTTATTGTATAAATGACACATAAAACAAAAAAAAAAACAACAAAAAAACTCGACATTAATGAGTTTAATAGCACGTTCAATTTTATGTGGATGATGGTTAAGAGAATTATGGTAAAGCTACATTTAGCCTGCTAAAATTATTAGTGATGGCTTTGATGGATTCTAGGGCTCCGAAGCACCCCGAAGCTTCTACAGCAATGAGGAATTAGGGGTGGATGCTAAAACCTTCTTGCACACTTTATGATTTCCCCTGATAATATGTGGATCAACCACTTTTAAAAGATTTTTTATTTTATTTTTTTAGATCCTGAGAGTGTTAATAGTCTGGAAAGCAGCATTAATAAGAGTAAATTCCCCATGCCTCTACAACTACCTGTTCAACATTAAAAAACAAACAAAACAACTGTTATTTGGCTGCAGCACAGCACTTGTGAATTATGTTGATTACTATTTGCTCATGACAAACCTGTCTAATAACCCTAACCCTACCCTAACCCAGGGTAAAAAATATATGCATCTGTTTAGAAGAAATGATTTGCAGGTATAGAACGTGTTTAACAATGTGACTCAAACATAACCTTATAAGTTTACAGTTGATGTTTCTACCTTTTTCTGTCTTTTGCAGATTTATCCACTACTGTGTGGATATGAAGGGCTACAAAGGGGTTGATTTCAATAATGTGGATGAGGAAGATCTCTTTGAGGCCAAAATGGCAGCCCTGAAAATCACTGACTCTGAATGTTTGTACTGTTTTTGCTTTTTATTACCAAAGAAATCTTTATAATCATTTAGTCTTGGATACAGTTGGAAAGTTATTTACTTTACTAAAATATTTTCTTATTTTGTTTTAAAATAAGCCTTTGTTGCTGATGACTTTCATTTCAAATACTACTTCTTTGCTTTATTCTCAGTTAAATATCTCAGACTATTATTATCTAAATGTATTTATTTCAGGAACTCTCTGTTCACCATTGGAACATAATATAAGTTAATTATGTTGGCTACAAACAGATATTTATTTTGTGTCAACAAATAATAAAAAACAGTATTTAAGAGTAAATTATTAAAGTAGACCATTAGAAAAATTATCTAAATACAGTTATCTGGGTTTTAATATTGTAAATAAATTTTTTTTATTTTGTAAAATTAGAAAGCTCATTCCTAAAATGAACCTGTATTTGTTTAATTACCTGTTGTTAGATATTGATTAATTAAAGATTAATGTTTCTGTCTGTAGGTCCTGCTGAAGAGATGAGTGTCTTCCAGCAGCATGTGGATCCTGGATGGAAGAATGAACATTAGACTCTCAAATTTTCAACTGCATCTTTCTAAAGGACAGAGATTTTTGTTCCAACAAGATGTCTAGCAAATCTTCTCCTTTCCCCCTCTCCTTCTGCATCTATTGTAGCGCACACAATTTGAAGTGTATTTAAAGGAAATTATGCAAGTAGGTTTGACTTTTTACACCTTTTGACCCTTCAGTCTTTTAAAAAAGCACAAATATTGCTACACAGATCAAGATGTTAATTTCTTCCACTGATACGTATCACTTTTTCTCACTGATGCTCTCACTTGTCAAGCCTTACTCATGAACTTTCTATGCATTTCTTATCTAAGGGCTAAACATGAATAAACTTTTTTGAAACACTGTACATTAAAGCTGTTTGGTCCCATCTGTGTCTCACAATGTGTTAAGAAAAACAAAGACTGATTTGATCTGTTTCAGAAATGTATGAGATGGTGGAAAAAACAAGTCTGGTTTAAAGACTGTACTATGATTACCTATTTATAAAATATTGACAGGGACACCACATACTTATGAGCACATGGATGAAAGGGAGCCAATTTTCTTCCAATTTGATTTTATTTCTTTGCTCTTTTGTATTTTTTTCTCTACTTTGGAAAAACTTGAATTAATGCTTAATTATCTCCAAAAGATAATTAAGAAGGAAAGAGCATTAATGAGGATCAATACTGTTGGATGTGATGTGTGTTAGATGTGGAAAAATTTTATATGAATGTTAAATTATTTATGTTCAGAGAGGAAAAAAAGATGCAAAAGGTAATGTTTCAAAAATATTTTATTGATTAATGTATGACATTCACAAGATAATCTTAAATACAGTTATGACTTTACTGTTTATCGAAAGAGGAAAAGTAAAGAAGCATTTTTCATGGACTTGAGATGGTTAAACCTGTAACACAGAGGGTTTTCCCCGGTATGTCACTGTTCACTATAATTAGGTTTTCCTGGAGGTTAACTGCTTACAAAATAGCAGCAGTATACCATTAGTGACTGGTTTAATTTTTCACCTGCTGTGGCTTTGCTGGGATTTTTTTAAATTTCTTTTTTTATACGGTCTTCTTAAAAGCCTCCTGAAAATTCATTAGCTTAGAGCTTAATGAACCTTCCAAATGAAGCCCCAGCTATCACATAACACAAGGCCTCTACATTAATATTTTTTTTTTTAATTAAGGAAATCATTCTTAACTAAATTTCTTTTTGTTTACACTTATGTATACAAAATGACAAAATAAATCTAGGTCTAAATCTACATATATTCTCCAGTATGTGTTTTTGCCTTCATGCTGAGCTTCTTAAAATCAGCACATCAGGATCTAACCTACACTGTTGCTCAGTCATTAACCAGAAATGATGTTAGGCTTGATTTGCATGCTGCAGTGTAAGGCAATAGCTGCACAACTTACTACCCGTGTGCTTGGTTCTGTGCATTGTAAGGCAGCATGATGAACTCAAAATATATAAACCCTTCATGTGAAAAAGCTTTGGAGACAAATGAGCAATACAGGCAAAAAGTAAATGCATTACTAGCTTAAAGGTTGAGGTTTGCTGCTATAAAATGGCATGAGTTCATTTGTACGTAGGTACGCAACAATAAAGCAATAACTTTTTTTGTTTTGTCAGTTTTTGTAATTCATCCTGGAGTTTAAAATTCAAACTACAGCAGTACTGTATTTCTCAACAGGAAAAATAAGCTGCTGTGCTATCTTCCAAAGCAGATAAATCAAAAGGAAGGCTTTTAAACATGTCAAGAAGTTTACTCTTCTTTGCTTTTCTCAGACATGTACAGAACTTCTTACTGGAAATGTTAGATGTGTAAACAGGTTGTGATTTCCATGACTGGGCCAAATGGTCGACTGTTTAGATTCCAGCAGCAGGTGTGACTGGTTCATTTGAAAAGAAGCAGAAAAATGTGCAATAAGCAAACAGGCCATGACCTTTGTGGAATCTTCAATACGCAGACTTCCTGTTGCTCCTGACTGTTAGTGTGCACATATGAGTCACACTGACTTCTGTCTCAGCTGATCACCTCTCCCTCAGATCACTCTCATCCACTGATGACATAATGCTTATTGAGGAGAAGTCTGGCAATTGGAAAACTTATTCCTTCACAGATAATTTCCCTTGCATTAGAA